CCCCCCCCAGTGGTGGTGCTGTCTGGGCTGCTGATGATGATCCTGGTCCTCTGCCTGGGAGCCTCTGTGGTCTGCCTGGTCAGACTGGCCCGCCGGAGCCAGGAGCGCGCCGCTCAGGTCTGGACCTCCCAGGACGACAAGGAGCACCTGGTGAAGAGCACGTATTCCCTGTGAACACCTGTCCCCAGGACGCCCGGGCGCAGCGGGGCGGCGAGACCACCACACCGCGTGGCCCGTGTCTATAGAACAGTGGCGGATCTGGGTCTCTGGTTCCCATCTGCCGGGCTCCCCGGGCAGGGTGACCTCTGCCGGCTCGGACCCACCCCTCTGGCTTCATAGTGCTAGGCTCCGGTCTCATTGTCCCCGCTTCCATTGACTCCCTCGGCCTCTTCCCGTCACGAAAACGAAGTTGGCATCCTTCCCTCTGTTGACTGATTTATGGAATTTTTTTTTTAATTAACCTACGTAATGAGGTGGTTTTTTATTAGGTTCTGAAAAGAACACCGTATCACGTACACGCTGAATAAAAAGGCTCTCCTTGGTCAAAGGAATCGGGTATGTGTGTTCTGTCTGCATGCAGCGACCGGCGTGAACCCTACACAGACCATGCTGTGGCCTGCTTGCCGGCGGCCAGCCGAAGGCTGACAGGACCCTGGCCGATCTCCACCCCTCGGCCCCCCAGGGCCATTGATGACAGCCCCCGCCGTGGCTCCACTTAACCCGCTTTGTCCTGCAGTCTGTCGCTGCTGCCCCTTTGGTGGCCCTGCAACCGTCCACCGTCCAGTGGGAGACCGCCAAAGCTGCCCGCTCCTGTGGACGGGGAGGCCCTCAGCCCTGCACAGGCCCACTCTGGGAGCTGGTTTCTCTCCCTCCGTGTGACCTCAGAGGCCTGAGGTTTCTAAGGTGCACACACCTCCCAGTGCGGCTGCACCTCTTCTGCAAGGGCCTCCCTCCACCAAGGTCCCGGAATGTCTGTGATCTTTACCTCCTTTCTCATCGCCAGCCTCTGGAGGCCCCTGTAGATCCCTCTGCTGAGGCTGAAAATTAGCTCATCTCCAGATCTGAGGGGCTGCCGCAGGGCCGGAATCTCAGGGTCCCACCCGGTCTCTGAGGATTCGGGGCTCTGTTCCACAGCTACTTCCCGCTCTATCCCAGGTCTTCTAATGTGAGCCCCTCCCGAGCAGGTGGGAGGGGGAGCGGGGCGTCGTCTGGTTCCTCTGCAGGTCTCCGTACATCCCGTCTGAGTGTCATGTAGCCTTGCCACCTTGGAACTTCCCGGGACCTGAAGGTGGGGCAGAGGATGCCGCCGCGTCCGAGAAAGGCCGAGGCCGGAACCAGGCTTGCTGCTTCTTGGCTTTACCTGTTGCTCAGTGATTTCCACAGAAGAGGGAGCGGGCAGGGAGGCCCAGACCTGACACGGTCCTTGCGCCCCTGTGCACCTGTGTTACAGAGGGACGAGCACCCCCCCAGCGGGACCAGGCCTCCAGGCGCAAGCCCAATTCTGCTGCCACCCTGTGGGTGTGCCCCTGTTTGTTCTCTGGACTATGAAAGCCCCTGTCCTCTTCCCCCTTCCCAGCCAAGTCCTGCAGATAACAGTGCAGCTGGGTGGCCCAGGGGGCTCAGATGGGTGGCATAGGGCCCCTACCTGCCTGGTGACGCAGCAGCCAGGCCCTGGTTCCTGGCAGCTGAGGTGTGTGTGCGCGCAAGTCACTCACTCGCCCGTGGGCCTGGTGCGACATCATTTCAGACTTCTTGGAACTCGAGGACTTGGATCTCCTTGCATTGACCTTCAGAGAAAGCCAGGAAGGCCAAGTTCAATGCAGTTCGGGGAAGGTGAGAATCCCTGGGGACGTCAGAATCGCATAAGAAGCAGATCTTCCCGGGCTGCCCCACTTGGGTTAGGGGTCCCTCGCCGACTCTGAGCCGGGTCTCTCAGGCTGTGGCCCAGCGCAGCAGGTACTCGCTAGCCAGCTCAGCCCAGAGAAACCAACCTCCCATCCAGGCAGGGCCCCAGAGTCCTGGAGAGCCTGTGATCCAGACAGAAGGGCCTAGGCAAGGAGCAGTTGGGGGCTCTCCAGAGGATAACCGTGGGCAGGTCGCTTGCCGCCTTGGATCCTCCAGTTCCCTCACGCGTCAGGGTGGTTGTGAACGGTGACTGGTCAGTGTGGGTGTCAGGCCACGTGTAGGACGTGAAGGGCTCCGTCAGGGAGCCTCCTGACAGCTCCTGCCCATCCCCCTGTCGCCTTGTTTCTCCTCAGCCTCTGGCAGTTTTACACACACACACACACACACCCCCCCAGGCCCCTGGCCTCGAAGAGAGTGAATTCACTTACCACTATCAAGACCAGTGAAGCTCCCCCCAACCTTTTTTTTTTTAATTAGGGGCTCATACAACTCTTATCACAACCCATACATACATCCATTGTGTAAAGCACCTTTGTACGTTCATTGCCCTCATCATTCTCAAAACATTTGCTCTCCACTTAAGCCCCTGGCATCAGCTCCTCATTTCCCCCCCTCCCTCCCCATACCCCCCTCCTTCATGAACACTTGATAATGTATAAATTATTATTTTGTCATATCTTACACTGTCAACGTCTCCTTTCACCCACTTTTCTGTTGTCCAACCCCCAGGGAGGAGGTTATATATAGATCCTTGTAGTTCGTTCCCCCTCTTGACCCCACCTTCCTGGCATCGCCACCCTCACCCCTGGTCCTGAATTCCCTGTGTTTCCAGTTCCTATCTGTACCAGTGTACATCCTCTGGTCTAGCCAGATTTGTAAGGTAGAATTTGGATCATGATGGGGGTGGGGGTGGGGGAGGAGGAAGCATTCAGGAACTAGAGGAAAGCTGTATGTTTCATCATTGACACACTGCACCCTGACTGGCTCCTCCTCCCCGTGACCCTTCCATAAGGGGATGTCCAATTGCCTACAAATGGGCTTTGGATCTCCACTCCGCACTACCCCCCTCATTCACAATGATATGATTCTTTGTTCTGATGATGCCTGATACCTGATCCCTTCGACACCTCATGATCACACAGGCTGGTGTGCTTCTTCCATGTGGGCTTTGTTGCTTCTGAGCTAGATGGCCACTTATTTACCTTCATGCCTTTAAGACCCCAGACACTATATCTTTTGATAGCCGGGCACACACCATCAGCTTTCTTCACCACATTTGCTTATGCACCCACTTCAGCAATTGTGTTGGGAAGGTGAGCATCATGGAAGGCCAGTTTAATAGAACAAAGTGTTCTTGCATTGAGGGAGTACTTGAGTGGAGGCCCAATGTCCATCTGCTACCTTAATACTAAACCTATACATATATGCACATAGATCTATTTCCACATCCTCATAGATAAATATATTTGCATATGTACATGCCTGTATTTTGACCTCTATCTATGCCCTTTGCTGCCAGTGTTCCTGAAGGGGAGCACCTAAAGGATTTGAACTGAATTCTGGTTCCGTCACCTGAATTGTTGGAATAATAAAGCCATTGACCACTTCGATGAGTGCCCTGCTCACCAAGTACCCTCTACATTGGCCGACGTCATGGGTGGGCGGGGTCTGGCCCCTGGGCCATCTACAAGACCAGCTAACATCTGGTTGTGCACCCGAGAAAATCAGTCGCAGCCCTCACCTGAGGGGTGCGTTAATTCAGTGTTTGACCCAACATAACAGGCTGATTTTTAAGTCGATAATTTTGCACGGCCCTCAAATGTTGTACGTATCTAAATGGCCCTTGGCTCCTTGATCTACATGGACCAAAGTGGGAGGGACCGTGAAGCTGTCCTTCCACTCACCTCTCATCCTTCCAACCTAAGGTCTGGGCCTGCGTAGAAGGTGTTGGGCAAGTGACATGATACGGGGATAGACTATGTGCCATTCCGTGGCCGGGGAGGGAAGCCACCTGCAAGGGAACACCTTAGGCCCCAGGGGGCAATGAGTGCCCTCTCTGTCCCTAGATCCAATGTCTTGACCTAGCAGGATAGCCACATGGTCTTCCCACAGCAGGCAGCTGTAGCAGCAGGCAGTCTGGCCCACTACCCACCACCACTAGGCACACAGGTGCCCAGCCCTGCAGCACACCCGATGCCAGCAGTGGCGGCAGCTCCTGAATGTGGACCCGCCAAGGCATTTACAAACACATTTCCCAGCGTGTTTCCATCTGGCTGACACAAAATCATAGGTTTCTGACATACAAGTGCCCATGTAGGACAACCGACGCTCAGCAGGCCTGCCCACGTGGCTGGACCAAGCCAGTGCAGTGGAGTGTTAACCGTGGAGTTTAACCACAAATCCCAAGCTGGACTAAGTACTTTGTACCCCTTCCGGTCAAGCGTTTGCATGGAGGGAAAGAAGGCCATGGAATGTCTCCATTGGAAATGGGGGGGCTTGATGGCCTTGGTATCAAAGACTGGCAGGTCAGTCTAAGCATCTGGTGTGAATACTAATGGACAATCGACTACCTTGAAACTAGAAATAAGACCTACCGGGGGTCCCTGGCCGCGGGTCTCTCACTTGGTGTTCTGTTGGCAGTAGCCTTAAGTAAATGCTATACCAGATAAATCCAGTGACTTGGGTCTCCGTCTCTGGTGGTCAACTTACTCCGAGTGGCCAAGAAAATGACATACTCATCTGGAAATTGACCAGCAGCCAAGGTGGCATCGGACCAAGGGGTGGACTGTTGGGAAAGACAGTCCTCCCCGTGGACCTCAAATGCCTACACATCTTTGATGGGCCAAGAGTGCCCAACCTGTCTGCTCTTTACTGAGGCCATCAGGTTTGCAGCAAGCAGGCCTGTGGTACGGGGGCCCAAGAACACGCATGTGGGAAACAGAAGGATTTCTCCCAGTGGTCTTCCCCAAATATATGCCAAACTTAGCTGCTTGCGAATGACTATACACTTGGAGGTCTTCAGAAGTAGATCAGGGGTCATTCTCCCTAAGGGTTATGAGCCATCTAGAGCAAGCAGCCACCACTGTTTATCCCACAACAAGTAGGGCCCACTCCCTTCTGATAAGGATAGTAGTTGTCTATTTCCTTGTAGGAGACCCCAGAGAGGTCATACCCACCCAAGGATGACCAAGGTTAGGCTGCCATCATGAACCTAGTGTCCACCTGTGGGGGGAGGTCAAATGCACAGGCATTCCCCCCCCTGAGGGCAATCAGTTGCCAGACTGCAGTGGGCCCTGCTCCCTGCCTCTGGGGACAATGGACAGGCTCCTGTAGGTGGAGTTTACACCCTACTGATAATGGTTCCTATGGAGACCCAGGGAACAGGTCAAGGTTGCGCTCCTGAATCTGGGATCCACCCAACTTGTCACATGTATACCCCAGTCCCTCCTCTTCCTGTTGCTTGTATGTCCCTGTACCACCCCCTCATTACTGTGTACCCTATAGTGTAACCCCTCCCTGTGACGTATGTCTTCACCTGCAATTAGTGGGCGTGCATGCCTCAAAAAGGTATAGAGGCCTGTGTCAGCAATATAGATCTCTCTCTCTGGCGCCCCTCTCTTCGCCCTCTCCTCTCCCGTCCTCTCTCCCTTGCCCTCCTTCCCTTCCCCCTCTCTCCACTTGGACCATCAAGCTTGGCTGAGGTGAGCAATGCTACCATGTAATGTGTCTGACTGCATTATTGTAATACCTCTCTCGATGACTTTAACATAATACTTATATATCTCAACCGTACAATTGTGCTTACTGAACTCGTGGGTAGTAGCAGCGGGTGGGGCTGGCCTCCTCACCCCCCACATTTAATACTACAATGAACCTAGGGCCCGCCCTTGGCACATGTATACCTCTAGTTCCTCCCTTTCCTATCATGTGTACAGCCCTAGCTCATCCCCTTCTTATTACACCTATGCACATTGTACTTCCCCTTCCTATAATGTGTATGCCTATTATACTGCCCCTTCCTATGATGTGTATGCCTATTGTACTGCCCTTTCCTATGTAATCGCCCCCCTAAGTAGATAAAACCCTTGGTTAGCAATAAACGGGGTCCTTCAGCCCCCTGCCCGGCCCTCAAGCATCCTGCCGGGTCTCTGCCCCACCTTACATCAGCCCACGCTGTGCTCAGACCTGGCAGGTAAGATCATGGCCATCCAGGTGAGCATGCGACCATGAAATGTGTCCGACTCCATTATTTGACTCTCTTTTCTATCTCTCATGCTCTCGATGACTTTAATATGATCTTTATATATCTCAACCGTACAACTGTGCCTATTGAACCCGCGATTAGTGGTGGGGGGCTGGCATCCCCCTTCCAACCACACACGCATGCTTGCTGGGAGATGGTGGGTTCCCCAAGCTCAGTGTTCCTCTTGTGATGCAGCCCACTGCCTGGGCAGCAGCCACCAGGGCCTTCCGTGTGGCCCTCGCATGACCCCCGTCACCAGCACGCACGCTGGGATTCGCTCTGCTTGTTGTGAGTGGTGAGTATCGAGACCTTCTGCCTCGGACTGCTCCAGCCATCGGAGGCTTCTGCCAGCAGTGCAGAGACAGTGGCAGGCTAACTAACATTCACTTGTAAGTGGAGTAAAATCAAATCCCAGATCCAACAGTCTGCTGAGTGGCGGCCAAACTTGGGCTTCCCCTTCTGGCTCTTCAGCCCATGGCAGCCCATCGAGGTTTTCTGGTCATTGCTACCCAAGAAAGTCAAGGACACGAGCAAGATTGCTTGTGGTCAAAGGCTAAAACCCACTGCCATGCAGCCAGTTCTGACTCAGCTCTCCTCCAGATCCGAGGAGAGAACTCCTGAACATTTGCAGGAGTGGACTGCCTCATCTTTCTCCCGAGGAGCAGCCGGTAGACTTGAACTGCCCGATGCGTGGCCAGGATGCCCCCAGGGCTCTTTGGATCGAAGCCAGCCCCGTGTTTTCATTTTCTGGAAAAGGAAACGGAATGCCTGCTGGCTGGGCTCAAGGTGATCAGTCCCCGGAATGGGATCAAAAGATTCTAGAACAAGGAGGGTCACCACGAGTCAGAATTGACGCGATGGCAGTGAGTTTGGCTTCTGGTCTCTCCCGACGACATGTCCAAAGTAAGCGCGACAGTCTTGCCAGCCTCCCTGCTGAGGAGCGCTCTGGCTGTACTTCAGAGACAAACGTGTCTGATCTCCGCGCAGTCCGTGGGGCACTCAACACTGCAGTTCAGAGCCACCAGCTCTCTCTCCTTCTGCCAAATGCACACAAGATGACCGAAATCATCGTCACTCAGCTTGGGGACACCTTAGTCCTCCAAGTGCCAACTTTGTTTCTTAATGCTTAAAAAAAAACAAAACCTTTTTATTGTGATTTGGCCAAACATTTACAGAGCAATTTCCCATTCAGCAATGTGTACACATTTTGCTCCATGCTACCCATTGCAAGTCCCACAAACCTCACGCGTTCCACGTCTTCCCTGTTTACCATTTCCACTCTCTGACCTTCGTCCTTGGGCGAATGCTGCCCTTTGGATCCCCAAGGGATGACTGTCTTAAGAAGTGCTTTCTCTCGAGTGTTCGAGTCCTGTCCCCTGATAGATAGGCTGACAATGGAGCTCCAGGAACACGTTCAGTCCCAGGCCTGAAGGCTGGTGACTAAGGGGACATAGTGGAGGGTGGGGAAAGTTTGTCAGCATTTTTATTTGCTTGTCAGCATTTTATTTTTTTGCTTGTCAGCATTTTTTATATTTTTTATTTTATCAGCATTTTAAAGGTCTTTTGCAGCTCATCTGTCCAATGCACTAAACCCAAGCCAACTCCCTGCCATAGGACAGGCTCGAATGGCCCGAGGTTTCTGAGACTGTAACTCATTACGGAAGTAGAAAGCCAGGTCCTCCTCCCCAGGTGCAGCTGGTGGATTTGATCCACACCTGGGCTCTGCCGTCCAGTCCATTGATTATTTGAGTGCTGTATAGATATCTAAGTATAAAAAGATATCCTTTTCCTGCTCCATTTCTTATATTTGTCATTTTAAAGTTTTCATTGGGATGTAGTTTATATAGCATTTACCTGTTTTTAAGATGGGACTTTCTTCTCTCGGGAATTAGTCCCAAGAACCGATCTCAGCGATAGACATATAACACCCCCACCCCCACAGGGGATGAACAGACATGTGGGCAAAGGGAGACAGTGGACAGTGTATGACATGAAAAAAATAGTTTATAATTTATCATGAGGGGTGGAGGGGGGGGGGGAAAGAGGAGCTGATACCAAGGGTTCAAGTCGAAAGAAAATGTTTCGAAAATGATGATGGCAACATATGTGCAAATGTGCTTGATACAATGGATGTCTGGATTGTTATAAGAGCTGTAAGAGACCCCGATAAAATGATTTATTAAAAACAAAAAGAGAATGGCAGTCTTGCAAGCTCACGGGGGCAGTCCCACCCTGTCCCATAGTCACCTCAATGGGGTGAGTTCCTGTCCTTTTGGCAGTTAGTCCTGACTCTGGCAACCACTCATCAAACCCTGTCTATCAATTTGTCCTTCTTGGACACTTCATGTCAGTGGAATCATACAATATAGGCTTCTCTCACCTAAACTAGTATTTCTGAAGTTCCGGAACAGCCATCAGGAGTTTCTTCCTTGATCATCGACAAGTATTCCACTGTTTGAACATACGGCATTTAGTTCTTTTCCAGTTTCGTTCTGCCCCTCCCCCCCAATATACTATGTATATTTACCTAGGTTCTAGCCTCCCTTGCCCACTAGAATATCCATTCCACTGTTGTAAGGGAGAAAGCAAGTTGAAATAAACTTTATGGAGATGTACTGATGAAGTCTTACAGGACAGAGACAGTGGATCTGGATGAGGGAGACCACTGGCATGGCGTTCAACATGCGGCCAAGGATTTACACACAAGCCCCTCCTACAGGCCACGCGTGTAGAGAGGAACTGTCCTGAGCGCATGGGGCCAGCAGGCCCACACATCCAAGTTGCAGGTGGTATTACAGAACCAGGAGTGGGTCTGTAGTAGTGAGCTTTAAAGGATCGGTTCTGGGCCCTCTGACCAAGGCACCCAAGATAAAACTCATGACTGTGACCCTAGTACCCCGATTTCCATTCAAGGTCCACCTAGGCAAGTCCACATGGGGGTTAAGCTGCCTCTCCCTGGACCAGCTAGGGCGTGGCAGTCATTCACTGTAATGTACTCTGCCCAAGGGCAAAGTTACTCGCATTGCCGTTGAAAGTCAGAAGTAATTCAATGGTGACTGAATCCACTACAGACGCCAGTGGATTTAGGGTTCCTGCCGACTTCAAACCGAGCCAGACTCCCTGCCATCAAGTCTGTTCTGACTCCCAGTGACCCCACAGGCCAGAGTAGGGCTGCCCCCGTGGGTCTCCCAGACTGGTAACCCCTTATGGAGGGTCAAAAGATGAGGATCAAAAGCCTCATCTTTCGCCATGGAGGGAGCAGCTGGGGGTTCCAAGCGGCTGAGCTGTCAGCCCAAGGGGTAGCCCACTAAGCCACCAGGGTCCCCCTTCTGCTAGCTTAATGCCCTGCCGTTAACTTGCATGTGATGCACCCCGAGGCTGGGACGTTAGTGTTTGCTTCAGTCTCCCCAGCCCTAGGCACGGAAAGGATGAGGAGATGGAGATGGGTAGGCAGCCGGGGAAAGGACTCAGTGGGCGGCAGGCACTGTGGAGCCGGCAGTCTGAGGGACACTTGCGTGGAAACCGAAAGAAGTGATGCTGTTACAGCAGCATCCCCAGGCCTCAGCTGGTCATCCGCTTCAGGTACAGATGCGGCCGGCCTTGGGGAGGGGGCCGCAGCAGGACCCCTAGCCTCATGGGTGCAGCTGTTAGACTGAGGCCCAACCTCACCAACTGCCCTGACAGCCTGGCTCCTAAGCGTCCTCATGTGCAACAGAGAGTGACCATACTTGCCTTTTATTATCTTCCTAGAGAGAGAATTTGACACTCTCTTGGTGGCACCTGTTACCACCCCTCTTTACAGAGGGCAGCTTTCCCAAGGGCACCTAGCCGCAAGGTGCTTCTGCAGGAGTTGGGGTGTCTGCTGCAAAGGCCGATTCCTAGTACAGGCCCCTCACCCCTCAGGCATGTGCTCACAAGCCAGGGCCAGGGCCAGGGGGATTCCAGACGCGTAGCCACGCAGCGTGATACACAGCCACACTCACACTGCCTGTTACATGTGGGGCAGGAGGTTGCCCCCTCCCTCATTCCTTGAGAAACACAGTGCCCTTTGGGGGGAAACCCCATGACAGTTCTACACCCCCCCCCAAGAAATCTGCAGCACCTTTCCACCTTATTTTTAGGGACTCAATTGGGGGCCTCCCTCACCCACCAAAGCTCATGGGGGAAAGGGCCCACTCCCTAGAAAGCAAACGTTGGGTAGTGCTGGGGTGGGGCTGAGTCAGGGCTCTGGACAAAGGTTGTAAGGCCTGCCTCCTGAATTCCTGGGGCGGGTAGGGCCGCAGCTCCACCCCAACATTACTTAGGTCTCTCTGAGCACCGCAGGCCCTGACACACTTTCTCCCACCACCATGGAGTTCAACCTGGCTGCAGGTGCGTTCCTGGGGAGGAAGGGGCCTGGGGTGCTGGCGACCACTTCCTGCCACCTGCAGCAACTCACCCGACTTCTCTCTGCAGCCCTGGACTCCACTTCCAAGACACCCCAGGGGACAAGCCAGGGGGTAGGGCCCAAACACAGTCTCCCCAAAGTCCAGGGCAAAACAGAGGGAGATGCAGCTGCTAAAACCAAGGTAAGTCACAGCCTGGTCAGGCGCATCCGACGGGATGGGGAGGGGACTGCCTGGACCCCGGGCCTGCCCTGACTTGAGCAGGCACCCGAGGGCCCTAAGACTCACTAGCAGGCTCCTCATTAGCTCGGCCACAGCAGCTCCTCCGACTCCAGCGGCAGTTCCAGCAGCTCCGACTCCGAAAGCAAGGTAGGGGCGCCCCCTTCCCAGGTGCGCCGTGAGCCCTGTGCCCGGGTGCAGGGCAGTGTGCCAGGGCTGGGTGCTGGGAGGGCTCCATTTCTGGCCTGGAACTGGGTGTTGTACAGGAGGCCCCTGCCTCTTTCTCTCCCCACGGCAGCCCCATGCAGCAGGCTCGGGGTCGCAGGGAGGCACCAAGGTCAAGAAGCCCAAGAAGCCCAAGAAGGCCAAAGTGAAGAAACAGCAGGGGAAGGAGGCGAAGAAGGCCCCGCACTGACGGGCCTGGGTGGCTGCTCATTAAACATCCCTCCCGGAGACCTGGGCCCGTGCCCCTTCCTGCCCCACCCCGCCGGCCAAGGAGAGGCTGACAGCCCGGTGCCCGGCAGGCTTTATTGTTTCCATCAGTCGGCCGGGGCGGCCTGTGCAGCGGGAGACTCGGCACCTCGGCGAGCAGGGTGGGAGGGCGCCTCGGGTGGCAGGAGATGAGTCGCGGTGCCCCCGGCGGCCGCCAGGGGCTGGGGGGCGGCTTCCGGCGGGGAACCCTCAGCGCACCAGGTGGAAGGTGAGCCAGTACATGAGCAAGGGCTGCGCCGCCGCCACGGCCATGGTCAGGTACATGCGCAGCTGGTTCCGCGCGCCGCGCACGGGGACGCCCTCGGCCGCCGCCTCGGCCAGGATCTTCAGGCGCAGCGTCCGGATCTGGGTGGGGGCGGGGGCGCGGGTCAAGGGCTGGGGGTCCGTAGCCTTCTCAGCCTGGGTCCCACCTCTGCCGGTGGTGTGCCAGCAGCCCTGCCCTCGGCCCTAGTCGGGAGCCTAGCCCGGTGCCACAGTCAGTGCCAGGCAATGGCACATCTGAATGAGCTGAACTTCACCACCTCTACTCCACCTGGAGCAGGAAGTGAGCATCGGGGCTGCGGGTGACAGTGTTCAAGACCCCTGAGAAGCGCCATTGTTCTTCCCATGGGGGCCCTCTGCTTGGCAGGCACACACCACACTCCCCGCTGAATCCTCCCCTTCTGGATGGTGGGTCGGGTGGTCATCACTGGGGAAGCAAAGGCCCGCAAAGGGGAAGTGCTGTGCCCTGGTTCGGGACAAGCTGAGGGCCAGGCTGGGGCCTGGCGGGGTGGGCCTCCAGCCGAGCAGCAGGCATCCCCACCTGGAGACTGGCAGGGGCACTTGCCATGTCAGGCGAGAAGGGCGAAGGTAGAGCCACCCAAAGCCCTGCGGGCTGGATAGCCCTGGCACTGAGCACCCTAATTGGGTTCTCTGCCCTTCGATCCCAGGAGTGGGCACCCCCTCTGGCAAGCCCCGAGTTGAGCAATTGAGACTCCATCCACCCCCCCACACACACACACTTAAAATCTTGGCTCAGCCACCTCCTGCGGTGCCCCTCTGCCCAGGGGGCTGTGCCCTTCCCCGCCCCTCCCCCCCCCACTCACCATGAACACAAAGATGGACAGGCAGCACCAACCCAGCACCAGGTAGTAGCCAATCTTCCCAAAGAGCAGGCCCATGAGGACCCCGCCGATCATCCTGAGGGGGTTTGAGAGGTTGGTTTGAGGAAGAGGGGGTAGAATGGGGGAGGGCTGGGGCAGGCAGGGAGGGTGGGGACACTCACCCGACATACTTGTAGCCCAGGAAGGCCACCAGGTCGATGGTGGTGAGGTCAGTGTTGATGGTCACCAGGTAGAGGCTGAGCAGGATGACCAGCACCTCCAGTGTCAGCCAGGCCAGGGCTGAGCTCGCCTGCAGCCCCAGCAGGTCTGGGGAGAACCTGGGGCACCCTGCCCCGTCATTCCCTTGGCCAGCCTGGAACCCCAGGCCTAGTGGGGCTGGAGCCCCAGCAGTGACCAATGTGGTCTGAGCCCTTTTCTCAGAGGGCAAAGCTGACCCGTCCCGGGGAGATCAGGGTGGAGATGGAGCCAGCTAGGCCCGAGGGCTCAGACCGGTTTGGAAGCATGGGCAGAGGTCGTAACCCTGACAGGCAGGCAGGGCTGGAGGCCAGGGGCAGGGTTGCAGAAGGGGGCTGGTCTGGACAGCGTGGGGGAAGTCAAGTTGGGCTATGGGAGCTCAGAGAGGCATGTGACCCCCGCCTGGGAGGGGTGGAAGGAAAGGTCAGAGATAGCTTCCCAAGGGTGGGGCACCTTCTTCCAGCTTGGTCAGGGCAGATGACCGCCTGGCTTGAGTCCTGAGAGATCCCCAGGACAGACTAGAATGGCATGTGTTTGGAGTCCCGGAGGAAGTGGACACCGGTGGGGGACACCTAGTCTAAGGAGAACAGGAGGGCCTCCTTGAGGAAGTAGCGTCTCATGGACACCTTGAATGAGCAAGGAGCCAGATGTGCAAATACCCTGGGAGGCAGAGCCAGGGCTGAGTGGAGTGGGGGAGGGAGGGGCAGGGCACTTGCTGGGGGAGCAGAGGGCAGAGGAAGCTGGAGTGGGTGGAGGGGAGAGAAAGGGCTGGGTGGGTGGGGCACCAGCGTGGGGCAGGTGATAGGAGAGAGGGAAACCCAGCAGGCTGTCCTGGGAGGGCTCTGGAAGCTTCCCCACCCTGCTGGCCCCAGTCCTCTTACCTGTCCTGGGTCCCTAGTGCAAGGCCAGCCACTAAGACGTAGGTGATGAAAGCCATAGCTGTGGGGACAGACATACAGGCACTAGTCTGAGAATGAAGGACCCCCTGCAGCCACCAGGCACTCACAGCTCTGCCCGACCTCCCCACCCAGGAAGGTACTCGGGGAGGGTGGAACCTGGAATGTAGAGGTCGGGTGCGTTGATGTCGAAGCGAGGAGCCACCGGGGTGTCCTGCTGGTACTGCACCTCCCAGTCCTGTGGGGAGAGGCGGGACAGGCAGGACCCCCAGAGCTGGTCTCTTCCCCAGGGGAAGAGCCACCCTCCTTGCCCCGAGCCCCTGCCCAGCCTCCACCCTCTGGTAGGGCTGACCTGGTGCAGGTAGGGGAAGACGAGGAGGCCCAGCTTCCTGCCCACATACATGGTGTCCACTGCAAAGTAGTACTTGAGCTTGCTGACGGAGAAGAAGCGGTCCATCTGGGGGGAGATCCAGGGCTGCTCAGCACGGGGCCCCTTGCCATCCCAGCTGCCCCTCCCCCCGGCCCCAGCCCACTCACGTTCTTATCCACCAGCTCCTTGCCCTGCGCTGCGAGGCTGCTCCCATAGGCCATGGCCATGTTGGACACAGGGTCAGCCAAGAAGGCCGCCTGCGGTGAAGCGGAGGCTGCTGGGTAGCCCAGGCCACTGGGGGCCCGCGGGGTCCCATAGGCCCGACTCTGGGCTGAGCTCGTGTCATCAAAAAGCTGGTGGGGGTCAGCCATGCCTGGCTGGGACCCCACGGGGATCCTCCGCTTGGCGGCTGCAGAGAAAGAGGGGACTGAGTGCTGTCTCTGGGCTCTGCACCGGGCATCAGATGGACCGTCAGGGGTGGGGACTCTGCCTTCAGAGGACAATGACCATGCTGAAGGCCACGACTGATCGGGGCGCTGGCCCTGGGAAGTGCCCTAGTGGTGCTGTGGGTTAGCACTGGGCTGCTAACTGGGAGGCTGGCCATGTGGGAGAAAGAAGAGGCGGTCAGGCTGTCAGCTCCCATTAAGATTCACAGTCCGGATTCCCTGGCAGGGAGTCTGGTGTGGTTTGACTGAGCACGGACAGAGCCAACCGACGGCAGCGAGCCTGGGGTTTGGGTCTGCGTTTGTTTAAGCCGCTGCCGCCAAGTTGGCCCCTACGCTTAGCGATCCTGGGCGCCAGAACGGAGCTGCTCCTAAGGATTTCTGTGACTGTAGAGTGTGATTGGAACAGGTGGGGTCTTCTTTCTCCCACACAGCGGCAGGTGGGTTTGAACCACCAACCTCTGGGTCAGGGAGCAGCCCCACGCTTACCCACCGCACCACCAGGTCTCCATACTGTGGGCAGGACCCTGCATTGAAAGTCGTGCATACATCAGGTCTCCGGTAATCAGGTCTCGGGTATACCAGCACATGCCCACCCCAGGGTCTCGGCCAGGAGCACTCTCTCCCTCGATGCCCCCTCAGCTCTGCCTGGGGGTCTTGTTCACCGGCACCCCCACCTTCCTGTCCAAACTACTCCCCCTGCAGTAACCCCTCCCCGAGTCACTCCAGTCCACAGAAGGTAACTCTTGTCCCAGGAACTGGGCGTTTTGATCAATTTCACTCCCTATCCATCCACTTCCATCTCGTGTGGAATTCACAGCTGAATCCTCCCATCCCACCGCTCCTCTCGTTGGCTGCCAGTCGATTCGGACCCACAGTGACCCCAAGGGAACTGGGATGTTACCATCACAGTTGGGGTTACAGATAGGGAAACCACCTCCGAGGGACTGAGCCCTGGCCAGAGGACGTCTGGCAGCAAGTGCCAGAGTTAGCTTTCAAACATGTGCACAAAGTCCTTGTGGACTGCCGGGAGTGGTGATGCACTGGGCTGCTAACTGCCAGTGGTTCGAAACTACCCACCACTCCTCACTCTGCAGAGTTAGTCTCAGACACCCACAGGAGCAGCTCTACCCTGTCCTATAGGCTCGCTCCGGGACAGAAAGGACTTGACCGCCATTGGGTTGTATGTTGTTCTGGCTTGGTCAGGGGGCCCTGGGGCTGCTAACTGCAGGGTAGGCGGTTCAAACACTAGCTGTTGGGACGGAGAACGATGAAGCTGCTCCTGTAAAGATTTGCAACTTCAAAAACTCTATCTAGAAGTTTCCCGATTTATTTGGCCCACAACCCTCTATTTTTAGAGAGAGAGAAACAATTAAAAACTATAGCTCCGAACCCGGGGTAGAATGCAGACAGCTGGGAAGTCTACAGGGGCCGTTCTCCTGTCCCCGGCGCTTGCCCGGAGCTGGGATCGATGGCTGTGTGTTTGGGTTTGGATATGGGTTCTTCCTCTCAATTATCTGTCATCCAAAGAGACCCAGGTCTCTTCAGTCCGAAAGCATGCAGCCCAGCCCCATTTCTCCAGTCCTCCTCCCTCCCTCTTAGCCACTCCTCCCCCAAAGACAGCAGTGCTGCCTGAGGAGGCTGGGCCCTGTGGAGTTTTCGTGGCTGAGCGCTCAGGGGATCACCCAGTCACCAACCTTTTGGTGAATGCTCTGTGCCTCCCAGCGACACCCAGGCGCCCTGGTGGCAGAGTGGTTATGCATTACCCATTGGGCTGCTAGCCACCAGGTTAGCAGTTTGCAACCCCACCTGCAGCTGCTGCACAAGAGAAGGGTGAGGCTTTCTCCTCCAGCAAAGAGCTGCAGGCTCAGAAACCCACAGGGACAGTTCTAACGGTCCTAGAGTGTCGCTAGGAGCCGGAATGGGCTCCCGAGCAGTGAATTTGGAACTTGGAATGGGACACTCACTCATTCTGTACAACCCCCACCCCACCCTCCATCCTTGGCACTTTCCTCTCTGTTCTCACCCAGCCTCTCAACACTAAGCCCCACCGCCCCCCCCCAGCAGATGTCCCCCCTCCTCTGGACTCAGCCCCCCAGCAGCCCTTGATTGCCATTGTCCCAAAAGCCAGTGCCCACCTCCCTGTCTTCTCAGCTTCCCAGCTCTGCCTAGATCTGCTTCTCTTCCCGACAGGGGCCCCACCAACACTGGTGGAAGCCCCTCTGTGGGCTGGGCTCTGCTGGGGGTGGGGGTGGGGTGGTGAAGAACAGGACAAACGCCTGCCTGCAAGGAGCTGATAGCCTCCTGATCCTCCTTAAGTGAAGTGCTCTTTCTTTCCTGCTTCTGCACTGAATCAGGCAGCTCTCCACCCTCAGCCCTTTAGCCTTTCCCCTAGGGCACCGCCAGCATTCACGTGTCTCCTGGGTCCCACTGCCTCTGGCTGCCCCTGGACCCTCACCCCAGTGCCCAAGCCCTGGCTCCCCTTTGGTCTGACACCTAATCCATCGGTCATGGTGGGCAAAGGATCGCACACTGAGTCTCAGTGTTACCCTCCCCTCGGCCACAGTGCCATCTTGCACCTGACTTAAAAAAAAATGTCCCTACCTGGGCCGCCTGTCTGTCCCCAAACTCCAGCGACCAACCCCTCTTCCAAACGACAGCTGAGTAATCTTCCTAAGACACTCTTTTGCCAAAGAAGATCCATGCTCACGGTTCAGTGGATGAAATCCAAATACCTACCAGGCTCTGAGTGACCCAGCCTTGCAAGCCACCCGCCTCCACACTCCCCTGGGGCTCACCACGCCCCGGCCACAATGGCCTCCTCTGGGCCAGATGATGCCAGCTCCTGGCCCCACAAGGCCTTTGAACACGGCGTGCCATCACCTCGGAGCACGTTCCCTTCACTCATGCCTGCAATGTGGCACCCAGAGTGCAGTTTGAATGGCTCCCGCTCAGATGGGCCTTCCTTGGCCCTCAAGAGAAAGTTCCAGCCCCACCTTGCTCTCTCATGCTAGCCTGGGCTTGGGGGTTTTCTCGTTCTGTCCTGAGCACTGGTAGGAGCATAGCGGTTGCACAATGGGCTGCTAACTGCAAGGTCTGCAGTTTGAAACCATGAGCCACCGGGAGGGAGAAAGACGCGGCTCTCTATTCCCATAGAGTTACAGGTTAAAAAAAAAAAAAAGGATTACAGTCTTGGAAACCCACAGGACAGTTGCACCTTGTCATGGAGGGTCACTCTGAGTCTGAGTTCACACAATGGCAGCGAGTTTGGCTTGGCTTTTTGGTCTCCTGAGCACTTAGCACAACTTCTAAACGTGGCTCTGTATCTTCCTTTGCCTAGTCTGGATAGACCTCCCTCCAATGACCTTCCTCCTCACCACCAGCCCCCAGCTCCTGGCTAATTCTGCATGCCATAGATCCTCTTCCAGAAGACTTAGCTGCCAACCCCGTGGGGTTCCCTCAGCAACTTGGGCTTCATCCACCCCAGCCCTTGGCCCGTCCTCCTGTGCCCTCTGGAATCCTGGTGCCCACAGCTCCATCCACCTGGGCTGTCACTGTCTGCCTGACAATTCCGTAAAATTAGGTGGCAGAGCTGTGGGGGCAATGCCATGTCCCAGCCCCACTGGGCTCAGGTGGAAAGGGGGACTGGGTGCAGGACACCTTCACAATGGCTCCGGGATCACATCCCAGATTGTCCCCTCTGCCCTGATGACACCCCAAACACTCTGCTCCACTTGTGTCCTAGTTCAGTGCCTGTCCTACCGAGAAACAGCGCGCCTCGTGATAACTGGGCGGCCAGCGCTACTACGAGGAGTTCCTACTCATGATAACTGGGTGGCCAGCGCTACTACGAGGAGTTCCTACTCATGATAACTGGGCGGCCAGCGCTACTACGAGGAGTAACCAGCAGGCCCCCAAATTCCCTTGCTGACACAGGTACAGGAGGAGCTATGCCCAAGGAGTAGTGAGGTGCACGCAGTCTCACCGCCGAGGCGGGAAACGGGGGTTAAGAATACAACACATCTTAAACGAGGGTTAAGCATAGCCTGGTCTGTGCACTGCGGGGCGTGAAGGCCGCACTGGGGCGCTTGGAGGGCAGCTGGGGAGCCACGGGAGGGTGGGGAGCAGAGGAGGGCTTGTCGTTCACTGCGAATGAATGAAAGTCTGGCTGCTCTGCGCATCACACCACATCTAGCCCCAAGCTGCTTCCTTCTGAAGGAGTGTCCTGAGAACCGACCCTGAGGCGCCCCTGCCCCGGGCATGGCATCCCTGCGCGGGGCACTCTGACCTCGTGACCCTCGGGCCCCAGCGACCCCGCCGAAGGCAGCCGCGGCCCCACCACACTCCCACCCTCCCGATCTCTTGCGCCGGCCACGTACGCCACTTACGCTGCCGGGTGGTCCCCGAAGACCCCGCCGCCGCCAGGCCTGTCGGGTGCATCGCTGGCCGCCGGCTGAGCCTGGGTAGCAAACGTGTCCGCCCGGCTCCCGTAACTACGCCCCTCAGCTGCCGAAACATCCAATGGGCGCTAAGACATCCGGAGGCCCCGCCCTCGGCCGGAGGCGCGGGCGGGGAAACGAAAGTGGGATTGGGGTGGGGCCCCTTGACGTAACGCGAGGGTTGGGTCTGGAGGGGAAGACTCCTAGGAATCGGAGATGTCGGGCATGATGGGAAATGTAGGCGTCGAGCGAAGGGGTAGATGGGAAATGGAGTTCGCCGTAGACCTTTGCGTTGGTAGGCTTCTCCGGACCCCTGAAAGCGTGGAGTCCGGAAGAGTAGATCCACTGGTGCTCCCCAACTGTGTGAGCTCTTAGGGTTATATATTGTTAACCGACTTTAGATATGGAACTGAGTGTTTGAAATGAAGAAAAGGGGGACCAGCATATTCGGTGAGATGAGCACCAAATGTCTTTCATCAACTATATCTTTCCGCCACTTCCCAGAATTCATTCATGTTCTCGAGTTGCGTCAAGCCAACAAAAACACTCTACGTTTCGGGGAAACTGAGGCACGCCCCGTGCCAGGTGCGGGGGGGCCCCAGAGGGCGGAGCCCAGCCAGCAGTGACAGCGTTCCCTGCCCCCCTCTTTCCCGCACTTCCTCAGAGGCACGGCGGAGGACTCTGGACACCCCCTTGCCGCTCGCGAGCCCCGAAACTGCCCCCCCAACTTGTTCGGGCTACCAGGCGGCTGCGAATGCCCGGCGCTGCATCAGGGCGCAGGGCGACCAAGGCAAAGGTAGGCGGAAAGGCAGCCTCAGGTGTACCAGCCAGTGAAAATCAAACTCATCAGGTTGATTCTGACTCATAATAACCCTACAGGACAGGGTGGAACTCTTCCTGTTGCTTTTCCAAGACTGGAAATCTTTACGCGATTCGAAAGTCCCATCTTTCTCCCGCTGAGCAGGTGGAGGTTTCGAACTGCTGACCTTGGAGTTAGCAGCCCATCGGGTAACCAACCACTAAGCCGCCAGGTCTCGGGCCCTGAAAATTAAACTTCCCCTGCCTCTCCTCCTTGGCCATCTTCTCTCCATCTTTCTCTGCCTTAATCCCCTTCTCTCCCTCCCTCTCAGTCTCTTCTGACCCCCTCCTTCTTTATCTCAGTCTCTGCCACTTCTCTTGGACAAGATAATTGGTGGAAGTGACTTTTTTGCAGAGATAGTGCTGCGGAAGGGCGTCTGCAAGTTCTTCCTCCGGAAGAACTCGGGGCTTCGACGCCGAAGCATTATCTTTATTGGGAACCGTGAGGACTGCTCTTGGGCACTCCGTCATGAGCCCTGGACCAGCTGCTGCCCTTGTTTGCTGCTTTTTAGGGAGAGGCTCCCAGCCCTCTGTGCTCCGGGTTTGAATTAAGCATCTGTGCCTGGGGAAGCACTCTGCTTTCCTCAGCCTCAGCCCTGCCTCTCCAAGACTCATCTCATCTCTCAAACTGTGTCCTATTTTAATGAAGCAAACGTTTGGGCTCTGTATTGTCAATTCGTTTAAGCATCCATTTTCCCACCTGTCTCATGGGAGCAATGTGGCAAGGGCTGAGGTTTCCATGCCAGCCATGTGGCCGCAGGGTGTGGTGTAGTGTAAGGCCTTGATCATTGGTAGCTTCTGTTAGTGTTTTCATTATCAGATACCACTTCCTGTGGGTTGTGGGCCCCCAGTTGGCCTGTGCCCCAAGAGCTGTCACAGTTTTATAAATAGAAACAGCTGGGGAATGTCTCTGCTGGGCCCCAAGCCCCAGTCCTCCTCCAAACCGGATATGACCAGGATTCTGGCTGCCACCCAGAAAGTTCCAGCTGGCAAGGAATGCGGTGACACACACCTTGTGGTGTGGGTGGGGTGGCAAAAAAGGGAGGGGGAGAACAACTTACCCATAAATAAACCACTGCCATTGACTCAATCCTGACTCGCAGGGACCCTACAGGACAGAGTAAAACTGCTCCCCAGGGTTTCCACGGCTCATTATGGAAACAGCCTTGGCTTTCTCCCCAGGAGCAGTTTAGTGGGTTTGAGCAGCCGACCTTTTGAATAATAGTCCAACGCTGAACCCACTGTGTCAATAGGGCTTCTTCCTCATAAATGTTGGTACAACAGGAGACAGCCCTGGGTTCCACCCCATCCGCAAGGTCATTAGGCTTGAGTCTATGGCGACAGCTAACGTGTGCATCCATTGTGTGGAGGGGTTCGCCTTTTTTGCTAACCTGCTTTACCTGAAGGAGTCCTGGTGGTGTAGGGTTCCTGTGGGGCTGCTAACTACAGGGGGCAGTCAGAGGCAGCCAGCTGCTTCTTGGGAGAAAGATGAGGTTTCCTACACTGGTCCCGAGTTACCGTCTTGGAAACCCACGGAGGACAGGCTCAGTTACAGTGAGGTTGAGCTTACTTTGCCGAACATGATGTCCTTTTCCAAGGACAGGTCTCTCATAAATAGGGATGTACATTTGTAATTCTGCCAGGAAGAGAGCACCTGCCTCAATCCTATGTGACCTCGGGTCTCAGCTCAGATAGCCCCTCCTCAGAAAGGCCTCTTGACCTCCGAAGCTGGATCCAGACAGGATTTCTTCTGCATTCCTATGGTCCCCAAGCTGTCCTGTCCTGAGCCTGACTCCTCTGCTGATGCCGCCTCCTTCACATCCCTGACCACTCTGGGCGGTCATGCTTTGTTGACCTGTCTTCCCATTAGGCTGGGTGCCCTATAGAGGGCAGGGCCCAGGGCTTAGTCACCGCTGTGTCCCCAGCATCACCCAGCCGGAGGCAGGCACAAAGATCCCCACCCTGTCCGAGAGGACACAAGGGGCCACCCAGTTTTCCCGGTGTTGACTTAGGCGCCCCTCCAGGGAGACGGAGCCCTCTCTCCGGGCTCGGGCTCGGCGCACAGAGCTGAGGCTGCCTTTCCGCCTGCCTTTGCCTTGATCGCCCTGCGCCCCGATGCAGCGCCGGGCATTCGCAGCCGCCCGGTAGCCCGAACAAGTTGGGGGGCGACTTCGGGGCTCGCGAGCGGCAAGGGGGTGTCCAGAGTCCTCCGCCGTGCCTCTGAGGAAGTGCGGGAAAGAGGGGGGCAGGGAACGCTGTCACTGCTGGCCGCCGGTCGGACTCGCGGACCCCAGAGACCGGACTCCGCCCTCCAGGGCCCCGCACCTGGCGCGGGGCGTGCCTCAG